AGTTTTGGTAGAAAGCTACTTTTATTAGAAAATATAGGATTTTCTGAGGGAAATTCTAATACTCTGTAAACTTTAATCACCATCCTTTAATGAGATTATTTTGATGAACAACGTGTATTTATATCAATGTCATTAAAATACTTATGAACTCACCAGCATTAAAATGCTGATACTCTCTTTCAAAAATAACTTGTATTCTCAGGTCGTCAGTAGACAGGTACACTCCAGGAGCTTTTGTGAAGACAACCTTGTACCGAGCTGCATCTTATGTTATCTTCTATATTTACTTTTGATGTTGTTGCTAAATGTAACCTATGTAAAAGTTATTACTATTAATGCAATGGTTGTTGTACTTGATTTACTATACTGCATATGTTGTGATACTTGACATGACGTCCTCCACCCCAGAACGTTTCCGCCGTTCCGGTTTTGGGGTGTGACAATATGATAGGTGGTGCTTGTGTATAGTCAACGGTATGACACAAACACAACAACATTAAGTGGTGCTTTGTTCAACAATGGTTTGAGTTATGGCAATCCAACAATTATCTCAACAGAGTCTGTCTTTTAAGGTCACCAAAACTGATGGTAAAACCATGATGTCTAACAATGTTCTCCCTGCTGGCTGGTCTGAACTTTCCTGGTGCCCAATTCCGATGAAAAGACATTTTTACCCTTATTTGGGAAATAGGTTTTAGTGGTCACCTAGGTATTACTATTGTATCTTTTAGCAACTACAATAACTACTACTATAATAACTAAGAGCTTATTTTGATAGGGTCCTTTTAGTCATTTTGTTTTTTTAGGGTGCCCATTTAGAACCTTTTGTTCATCAAACCGGTTGGGTTTATCATCACAAACCCTGAGTTTCCTGTTAAACTGTTTTGTTCAATTCACAAACTGTGGGTTTATCATCTTACCTTTCTTTCTTTCTACCCCAAATATAACATTGTACTCCCTTTGTTTTTCTCATTTGAGTAAAAAAAACTAAACCAAATCCTTGGAACCCGACTACTGAAGAAAGATCCAGAATATAAGGCATGGGAAGGTGATTCAATGATTTTATGACCATGTATATGGCAGGCAAACCTATTCGGAAATGGTAAATTTAACTTTGGTTTTTTCATTCTAATAATACATTTCATTCAATGATTTAACCCTCTTATGTTTATTGTCATTTAGCAGAAACCGCAAGGAGAAGATATTGCATAAGCCCCACTGGCAGAAGAATAGTTAATGTACTACTGTTGTGTTGAGGCTAATTGCATTAGAGGTTTTGATGGAATTAATGTTAAAGTTTGATGTGATGTTGTGTTGATGCTAATTTGACTCTTTTTTGCACGGGACCATTTCTGTAATTTACTCTTTATTTCTTAAATCTAACAATTTTATTAAAATTTTCCATTTTTAAAAATCTAACTATAGATAAATAACGAAATTGAATGTGACGGTACTATATAAGAAATATAAAGTTATAGACTTTTAATTAGAAGTGCAAATAGTATGTTATTCGTATAGATTGAATTTCCCAATATTATTATTTTTAATTTTATTTATTAATTGTTAACTAAAATTAAATTAATTTATTGTTTTGTTATATTAAAATTTTCGGTTGTTGTTTATCTACTTAAAAGTTTCAATTGTTGTTTATTTTATTGGGTTTATATATGATTAGTACATTACCGGCATATATAATTTGTCATATCTTAATATCATTTTTATGATTTATTGGGCGGTAAGTTACAATGGGAAAATAGACGTTTTTCTTCTCAAGAATCATGCACAAAAAGTAAGGGTTTAATAAAAATAAATATTTTTTTTACAACCAATGCGTTTGTCTTGTGAGTGCATTACAACCTCCATGTATTTAATAAGAATAAAGCTCTAAAAGTGATACTATGTTGCATCATACAAACTCATGACTTTTATTAAATAGGTGAATTTACATGTGTAATTAAAATACTTACAAATTACAAAGTTATAAAAAATACAATATTACAATTCATAAGTTTTTCTAAATTAATGATATATTATTTTATTACATGATTAATTTTTTAATTCTATTTAAAATTAACACCCGTGGGTTTTAACCTAATTGTTATATAAAGTTGATATAACAATTAAAAACATTTTAAACCAAAAACGAATTGGTAGGAACATTATCCCCATCCTTTTTCTTCGTATTTTCTAAGGTTATTTCCATAAAAGACCCTATATTTTGATTTTTTTTCTTTTTAGACCTAAAGCTTTTTTCTTTTCCGAAAAAGACCCAACTTTTATCTATTACTTGTTATTTTAGACCCTAGCAGGTTACCAAAAAGGAAATTAAGTATTTTCATTTCATAAAAAACCCTAAATTTTGTACTTTTTTCCAGTTTAGACCTAAAATGTTTTTTTTTATTTCAAAACAAACTCAACTTTAAAATTGGTTACAACCTTTAACACTAGTTGTATAAGGTACTTAACTACACCGATCTAATGAAGCTTAACTTCGTTCATGCATAAAAACGTGATTATATTCTTTCAAATTAAAATAAAATCTTAAATTTTATTTTGGTAATTATTATGATTATCCTTAAGAATCAATAACAGTGATATACAAACACCATGTATTGATCTAAACACAATGTATACATAAGATAGATTAATAAAATGAGGTAGTAGGCCAACTATTCAATTTTCTTTTCTCTACAACAAAATTCATAGTTTTGTCCGTTTTGCTCATTCACCACATTCCAACTATTGTTAATAATGTCAACCATTGTATTTTGATATTTAAGTGTTCGGTATCATTCTTGTTATTTGGATTTTCAACTTATGCTCAAATGGGTTCATTCCCAAAATATAGTTTTATGTATTCATATGTGATGTTAACATTTTTTAAGGAAATCTTAAACTTGAATCTCATATATCTAAACAAAACTAATACGAATGTTTATGATTAATATTTTTATGTATTTATTTGATATATTAATAATGGGCTAATGCTACAAAATATTCTATGGCTTTGGTTTAGGAGTATGATAATGAGTGCGTTTGTTAACTGTTCTAAAAAAATTAATTAAAAAATTCGGCCAAAAAAATAATATAGAAAAGTGAGAGAGGGAAATATGTCCAAACTCACCAAATAAGTATAATAGACAAACTAAAAAAATTATTTTGTATACAGTTTGTTAAATGATATGGTATTTTTTTTTCTACAAATAAAAAAAAAATTATTATGCTAAAAGATTTTTCTTAGCCATGTATTATCCATGTTACCAAAAAATATCAAATTAACATCAAACTTTTTATTAGCGGTAATAATAACATTTTCTATAAACAAAATATCAAGTTTAATGATATAATATATATCCAAGATAAAATTTAATTATATCTTTTAGACAAAAATAAAATTTTGCATTTCTTTTAGGTTATATTCGCTCAAAATATAATAGATTAGATAACATTTTTTAGTGTATACATGTATACTTTCTTTTTCGGTGTAGTCAATAAGCACCTTATATATTCGGTCTTGAAGATTATAACCAATTTTAAAGTTGAGTTTATTTTGAAAAAAAAAAATTTTAGGTCTAAAAGGGAAACAACTACAAAATATAGGGTCTTTTATGAAACAAAAATACCTAATTTACCTATTGGTGATCTGTTAGGGTCTGAAATAACAAGTAAAACATAAAATTCGGAAAAGAAAAAAATTTTAGGTCTAAAAAGGAAAAAAGTCAAAATATAGGGTCTTTTATGGAAATAACCCTATTTTCTACGATAAATAGATGTTTGATTTTTTAAGCTTCAAATTTCTTCCACGACGACAAAAGAAAAAGTCAAAGTAAAATATCGTCAAATTCAATTTCTTTATTCATGAATTTGTTTTCAGGTTCTGATTTCTGAATCTACCCACAACGTTTACAATTTCTTTTGACTTCCAAACGACCCAATCAACTGCTTAAAGATGGGTTTAATCGTAAGAAATTTCTCATTCATGTTCGGAACCTTGTTCGGAATCTATGTTGCTCAAAATTACTACGTCCCAGATATTAAAAATCTCGTAAATCAAACCCTAACGAGGGCCAAGCAAGTCGAGGAACGTTATCGTAAATCTAATTAAAACCCGGGCGAAGATGATTTTTGTACGGAGAAGAAAAAGATTGCGTCAATATCCAGGTTTTTCTCCCAAAATCTTTAATTTTTAACAGAGCTTGGGGCTCGATTGTTAGTGGGGGTGATGGTAGCCTGTTTTAGGGTTAATTCATTGTAAGTTTTGGGAATTTGAATGTATGCCTTTGACCTTTTGTTTCGATTATAATTACATAATGAGAAGACGAAATGCAAATTGTTATTATTATGTTTCATTTTGATGTATTGCATTCTTTTGAATTGATAATCAATGGCGTTGACAATGCGGGTGATTTTTGTGCTTTCATCACTTGTTCGCCATTTTTATTTGATTCTAAATCAGAAACATGCAATGCTAATTAATTTCCACATATCTTTATGGATTTGGCTTTATGTCAAGGAAGAATGTTGTTTTTTTATGATATGCCACCATTCATTGCATTGGATGTTATTGATGCATATCAAAATTCGAAGTGATTTCCTTGAAATATGTTTTTTGTATGTTTCCAATGCAATTTTGGCCTCTAAAGAGATCTATAATTGCAGCCAGATTGATAATTTCTTGTGATTGGGTGCATCGCATGTTTTTGTTTTGATGTTGGTTTCCTTCCATTCCATTACAAGCTGCAAAATTTGAGTTCCCTAAATTACCTATTTGTTAAAGACATAAATGCCATGAAATATAAGATTGAGGAAAGGAGTGAAATTATTAAATTACTATTTGATATCTCAAAGGAATTTTCCGATACAGACATGATTATTGGAAGGAGGTTCCATCAGCAAATTCCATGTACAGAAAAAAACAGTGAGAGACTAGTGTTTGAAAAGATATATTAACAACATTTTTGACTAACCTGCGATGTCTTATCACGAGCAAATTAAATGCCATGAATGTAAGATTGAGGAAAGAGAGAAAAGTATCCGCAGTGCAGTTCTCCTCTTTGAGAAAACCAAAAAGATTTTGGAAGTTATTGAAGGAAAAAGAGTTGAAGATTCAGATTATGGATGAATTCTACGAAAACCTTTATGGTATCAGAGCAAAAATTCGCCCAATCCTAATGCTATTCTTCAACAGTCACGGCTGCCGTTCGTCTTCTTCACCATGGCTGGAGATGAAGCCGATCCTCCAAACCCCTCAAAGCCATCCCTTCATCCGGTTTATACCATCACCAACATTCAAAATAAAGTCTGTGTTCTAGATGGCACCAAAGTTACCTATTCATAGTGGCTAGTGGGTTAAACGTTTCAAACTCCATGTTTGTGGCTATAAGGTTCTTCAGCACATTGATGGCACTCCTCTACCTCCGAAAACCAGTGCCGATTACACGCAGTGGAACGAAACTAACGCCATAGTTCTTCAATGAATCTATGGTTTGATCTCTGATTACCTTTTCACACACATCCTCGACGATGACAGTGCTCACCAAGCATGAGAAAAGATGAAGAAAATCTTCCTCAACAATAAGGGATCACGTGCCGCCGCCCTCAAACATGAGTTTACCAATCTTACTCTCCGATCCATGAACTCTCTTGAAGACTACTACCAGAAGTTAAAAGATCTTGCCCACCAACTATCGAATGTGGAGAGCTTTGAAAATTGCTTGGTCCTCCAACTTGTTCGTGGGTTCGTGGATTGCCGCCTGAATACGATACCACAACCGAGCATGCTCAGGGGGCGTAGCTAGTAAGGCATAAGGTAGGTCCTAGGACCTACTTTTTTTTTTTTTTTTTTTTTCAAGTTAACATGTACATATAATAGAAATAAGGAACCATCATTTTGTCAAAAAGACCTACCTAACTATTGTTGGCAAAAAAATATATATATGAACATCCATATCTTTTATATTTAACAGCGCAATCAATAGCCCAATCCAATAATCCAATGAATTTAGAAAAAAAAGGAAGGAGGGGAATAGTAAATTAGAAACTTTAATATTACAACTTTTGAAGTGATGTTTAAATATTTTAGACATACAACCCGACTCGCTACCTTTATTATTTTTTACTCTTTCAATTTTTTTTTTAATTTTCATATACATAAGGAACCATGTGGTTTTTGGTTCTAGATTCGTCACTAAGCATGCTTCAATTGGAATGGAACCGTCAACAAACTCAGGAACAAATCGCCGCTCCAACTGTTGGTCTTATTGCATCAGAGTTGCATGTTTCTTCTCACTCCTCCTCAAGACAACCTCGACAGCCTCGTGGTGGCCCTCCGAATCGCCAATCGAATCGAGGAGGCCCTTCCCAGCAGCGTTGTGATTGCCAACCACATAGTGGTTCTTCGCAGCCTCGTACTCCTCCCCCCACCTATTATGGTGCATTACCATGGTGGAATATGATCCCACCACCCTGTCCCTACCCCACCCAACAAGGCTGGGCCTATCCATGACACTCCAATCCACGTCTAACATCGTAACAACATCCACTCCGGAATTCCAACACACCGGCTCACTATCCGGATACGCCTCAAGCCATTGCGTTCAATGCCCTTGAGCCCACTAACATTGGAGCTGCATTTCTGGCCGTGACTCTAGACCCTCTAGAAGACTCCGATTGGTACATGGATACTGGCACCCTTCTTACCTCACTGCCACCGACTCTCATCAACTTCAAAATTTTATACCTAACAGTCACATAAAATCTATATTTGTTGGTAATGGACATGCTACTCCAGTTATGGGCACGAGCAACACCACCCTTTTATCCAAACCCAAACCTTTTTCTTTAAACAAAGTCCTTTACACTCCTAACATTATGAAAAATCTTGTGGTTGTACGTCAATTTACCATTGATAATGATGTTTCTCGTAAATTTGATCCTACAGGTTTTACTTTGAAGGATCTCCAGAGTGGGATGTTCCTCTCCCGCCATAATAGAGTGGGACGTTCCTCTCCCGCCATAATAGCATCGGAGCTCTCTACAAGTTCACCCCTCCGGAAACATCTTTCGCTTTCCTGTCCACGTTGTATCCCGACTTATGACACTTTCGGCTTGGACATCCTGCCGACAATATCCTTCATATTTTACGTTCTCATTCTGTCATTCCATGTAATAAGAGTACTACTAATACCCATTCTCTTTGTCACTCGTGTCAAATTTCCAGACACAAACGCATACCTTTTTATGATTCTCATTCTCGTAATTTATTACCTTTTGACATCATTCATTGTGATCTTTGGACATCACCGGTACAGCAATACCTAATACAAATGCTTACAAATATTATATGGTACTTATTGACAATTTTACCTAATATATGTGGATTTATCCTTTAAAATTTAAGTCAGACATATTTTTGCGTTTCTCACAGTTTCATTCTCTTATTCAAACTCAATTCCACACCAAAATAAAAAGCTTCCAATGTGAATTAGGAGACGACTTTGACACACTGCATTTAAATTGTTTGCATCTAAACATGGTTTTGAGTTTCGATTTGCATGTCCTCAAACCTCCTCACAAAATGGAAAATCGGAAAGAATGATACGTCGCCTAAATGAAATTGTCCTAATTTTTTATATAGCTCACACATCTTTACCACACTCTCTTTGGGTTGATGCACTTCATGCTGCTGCCTATATAGAAAATATCACCCCAAACAAAGTCCTTAACAAACAACCCCAACATCCATGCTTTTCCATCGAAATCCTTCCTATGGCCACCTTCGCGTTTTTGGTTGTGCATGTTATCCAATTCTTTCCGCTAAACTAATCCACAAACTTGACCCCCGTTCCATACAATGTGTCTTCCTTGGCTCTCCCACAAATTACCATGGATATCGTTGTCTTGATCCCACAACCGGCAAAGTACATCTTTCACGTCACATCACCTTTGATGAGACGGTCTTCCCATTTGCTTCCTCTACCCTATCCACCACATAAATATAATTTCCTATCTGAAGACACTAACCTCTCTTCCACTTTCACCGAATTCTCCCACTCTACACCTTACCCACACCCACCACCACCACCACCACCGCCACCACCACCACCACCACCACCACCTACTCCATCACCACCCCCACCTCCACCACCACCACTACCACTACCACAACCACCTCCACCACCGCCGCAACCAGACCCTTCCTACCCTTTGGCCACCCGATCCCGCCATGGAATTGTCAAACCTCTCATACGTCTAAACCTTCACACCACAACCATCTCACCTCTTCCAAAAAAGCCATCATATTGCCCTCCATGACCATAACTGGAAACATGCCATGACCAATGAATACGAGGCTTTGTGTGATAATGAAACATGGGAACTGGTCCCGAGACCTCCGGATGCTCCCATTATACATTGCATGTGGCTTTATCGCCATAAATTTCATGCTGACGGTTTCCTACAACGCTATAAAGTGGGTCTTGTTGTCAATGGAAAAACTCAACAGGTTGGCATAGATTGTGATGAAACCTTCAGCCCCGTGGTTAAACCTACGACCATTCACATTGTTCTTATGCTTGCAATATTCCAGTCTTGGCCTATACACCAACTCGATGTTAAAAACACTTTCTTACACGGGGATTTATCTGAAACTGTTTATATGCATCAACTGTCTTGCTTTGTTGATCCCACATATCCTCATCATGTATGTAAGTTGTGAAAGTCCCTATATAGACTAAAACAAGCTCCACGAGCTTGGTACCACATGTTTGCGACGTATATCAATTCTCATGGTTTAAAAGTGCTATCACCGATACCTCACTTTTGTTTATAAGAACGGGTGAGATATATGACTTATTTGTTACTGTACGTTGATGAGATCATCCTCACCGCTTCCTCAGACTCATTTTTAAAGCATGTAAACTACCCAAACAACTCTTTCAGCGCTTCAAGTCCAGTTTGAATGTTCGATCTCCTCCCGCTCAAACTGCGGGGGTATATTAGCTGATATTATTATTGTATAATCTTTTATATCTTATTTACTATTAGTCTTTTGTATGTTAGGAAGTTAGCTTCTTCGTAACTCTGAATATGTGTATTTCATTAATTAGAATCAAGGAATTCTGCGGAAACCTTTAGTAATCATGTTGCACCATGTATTTATAAAGAATGAAATATTTGGTAGGAAGGGTAAGAAGTGCATAATTTGCATGATTTTTGACTAACCAACAAAATAAATAATTAGATAATACAAAAATAATATGATTTGAAAAAAAACCAAAAAAGCGCATCGATGATTCATTGTTGTGATGATTCACTAAAACTGTCTGAAAAGTGAATGAAAACTTGATTCGGTAAAAACGTGAATCATCGATGTTTTCTTTCGGGATTTTTTTGCGAATCGTATTATGGTTATATTATCTAATGATTCATTTTATTTATTCGACAAAAAACACACAAATGATGCATTTCTTATCCTTCCTACCAAATATTTTAACTGATGAGCTTATAGTTGTTCTAAATATGATGATAAACTGATGCAATAAAGAATAACAAAGAACACAAGTACATAGATGGAAATTGTAACATCCTATTTTGAAAAGTTTCTTATTTCGAGATTGTGGACAATAAATTTAGTAAATGTCTTGGGCTTCAAGGGAATGGGGTTTAGACCTTATTGGATGATGGCAATGTTGGATAAGTGATTAAAGTCTTGGTTTGTGTCTTGGAGTCAAGGGGTAAAATGGGAAAAGTGATGTTTTAGATTTTTTTTTCATGAATTATGGTTTTTACTTCGAGATGTGTTAAGCCAAAGTTAACTAGATAGAAGTATGGGGCTCATCAATACCTTTCTATGGATATAAAGATCGCCGAAAACAGAGTTGAAATGAAAAAGTTATGACTGTTTGAAGTTGGAGTGAAATTGGGTGAAAACCCGTTCTCACGAGGTGAGAAGTAATTCTCACGACGTGAGAGTTCTCAAGAGGTGAGAATATATTCTCACGACATGATAACTGTGCAACCCAAAGCCCATAAATTTTTCAGGGTTTTCAAGGTATTTAAAGGTAAGGATTCATGTTTTAGGGTATTTTCTTAGCCTCCATCATATCTAAGAACCTCTTAGGAGAAACCCTAGCCTCCATTTTCAAGATTTGAGCCTCCCCTTTCATCTTTCATCCATTTTTGGAGTTTTTTTTGTGGTTTTGGAGCAACATCTTCATGCAAGATTGATCCTTGAAGCTTGGCAATTGGAGATCTCAACTCTCATCTACCTTCTAGACCTTTTGTAATTTATAAAGTTCCAAGGTCCCAAGAG